CACGTACATGACGTGTACGTATTTTCTATGACGTACAAGACACGCACATGACGTGTACGTATTTTCTATTACGTGCAAGACACGTACATGACGTGTACGTATTTTCCATGACGTACAAGACACGTACATGACGTGTACGTATTTTCTATGACGTACATGACACGTACATGACGTGTACGTATTTTCCATGACGTACAAGACACGTACATGACGTGTACGTATTTTCTATGACGTACATGACACGTACATGACGTGTACGTATTTTCTATGCAAGTTTCTAGCTCCACATTAACAGGACATTTATTGTTACTAATTAGTGATTATCATTGTTATGATTAATACTTGTTTTCTTTTAATTTTTTCGACTCGCGGACTTTATTTTTTATAAAGGAATTTAATTTTTCTAGCTGGACATTTTTACCCATTAAGTCTTTTGCGCTGTACCGCACACGCATGAAAATTAGTGCGACATTGTCCAAATTTTTTGCCCTTATTTCAAATTTCATTTTTCAACTGATTTTTTTTTTTCGTAAAAGGAATTTAATTTATTCAAAATAAATTTAATTTTTTTGTTGTAAAAGAAATTTAATTTTTCTCTATTGGACATTTTTACCATTAGGTTCTTGCCGTATACGGCACACACATAAAAAATAGCGAAAGATTGTCCAAAAATTTAAAATTTAATGCAAATATTTTTTTCGTCCTTACGTGGGTCATCCTGACACAGTTAGGCGCGGTATCAGTGCTACGAGGGCTCTGAGTGTGTCAAAATATGGACAATTTGAGACACTTGTATCTCTGTGTGCTCGGCTGTATACATTCCCCCGCTGTATGTTTCTGTGTGTCCATACATGCACGCTTGTGTGATATTTTTGTATTAATTCACATTTTTGTTTTAATTCTCCTTTTTTTGTATTAATTCATCTATTCTGCAGTGCACAGATATAAATCAATGGCTCATTTTGTCCCAAAAAGTGACACGCTTTCTCACCCACAACCCGTAGCACTGATACGCTGGGCCATCAAACTGAGTCAGGATGACTCACAAAGAAGCTAAAAAAATTTGCATTGATTTTTGGACAATATGTCACTCATTTTCATGTGTGGTTGTTATTTAATGGACGAAATAATTTAATTTATCATTGAATATTAATAATAAATTGGGACTGATTAGCTTCCTGGTGATGATTACATGAATGATATGATTGTAATCATTCATTATTATTATTAATTATTATTATGAATTTTACCGACCGTCATTTTATGTATAAAATATATATATAAAGTTTGCTTTACACTCATAAAAAGAGTGTAAATTTGTCTTAATGACAATGCACTTTTTCAGCCCCTCTTGTGGCTCACTTCGACAATATTATGTCCCATACATCTTTATCAGTATAAATATATAAATAATATACTACAATATACATTGAATAGTTTCTCTGCATGTCTGTGTAATATTTGAATTGTTACAGACAAGTCGTGTATAATACATGTATATATTACTAGGTTGTTCCTTCGACCGTCTGTATGTATATTGTGTGTTGAACTTCTGTGTAGAAATACATTCTCTCCATGCGATGTATTTTGATTACATCCTTTATATGAATAATGTTATTTATATAATACGGTAATAATATTAATAATCTATATAAATAATAAACCATTTCTTAGCATTTTATATAGCAAAAATCAACTAATAATTTTTAAATCAATATGTTGAATACAACGAATAGGTAGAATTGTATATATTATTTTGAAATAAGTTGATTTTAATATGAATCATAATTGCAATAAAATTTTGAATAAATAACTTCATTGAATTTAATAATATGTTTCATATTCGTAGTATAATAACGTTCGAATTTACTTTCGATTTCGAAATAAAACTTGAACGGGAGTTTTGTGCTCAACCGCCTTTGACCGTTTGAGTTACTTTAAGTTTTTTTTTTCATATATATAACTTTAATTCAAAAATTATTAACTAAATTTGATTTTTTAAACTTAACGTATTTTTTGAATAAAGTAGGTAAGCTGTAGTTTTAATAATACTCTATCAAAATACGTTCTGAAAAAACGACGAATAATTTGTTTGGGTATCCCCTCTAAGTTTAAAAATTATTAACTAAATTTGATTTTTTAAACTTAACGTATTTTTTGAATAAAGTAGGTAAGCTGTAGTTTTAATAATACTCTATCAAAATACGTTCTGAAAAAACGACGAATAATTTGTTTGGGTATCCCCTCTAAGTTTAAAAATTATTAACTAAATTTGATTTTTTAAACTTAACGTATTTTTTGAATAAAGTAGGTAAGCTGTAGTTTTAATAATACTCTATCAAAATACGTTCTGAAAAAACGACGAATAATTTGTTTGGGTATCCCCTCTAAGCTGGCGTTCGTGCTCCGTTTTCTGTGTAATTATTTTCTTCGCAATAACCATTAATGACGTACACCGGCATTGTTCTTTGCCTGACTGTCTATTGAAAGGCCATGCTAGTTAATAAAAATACGAATTATATTGTTTATTTGGCACATAAATACACGTACATACACGGTCATAAATATGTACACAGAACCAAATGCACGTACATGAGACGCAAAAGGTCGCGGTGTGCGTGCACCGGCGCGTGTGTGCGTTCGTGCGTGTGCGCGTGGCAAGGAAATGCTCCTTCAATGATGATCATCTTAGAACGTACCTCTCTCTTTTTAACTCGTGATCTGTAAAGTCATTTTGTAATTAAAATATATTTTAAAAAGTTATTATATACTATAAATATTATTTAAATTCACAGTAAATTACAATTAGAATGTAAGCTCATGATATTCGTGCTGGTATATAAAGTGGACCCAAGGATGTCTTGCGGTTGCATATCGTTTTCGGGCGGATATGGCTGCAGGGCACCTGAAAAAAATCGAGGAATTTCGTTTTCTTAGGCTTATATCCAGACTTATATTTGTACTAAATCAACGGCATTGGTTACACAAGCTTTCATAATTATATAATCGAGGTCTTTTTGTATTTCTATATACTCCATTACTTGATATGTAAGCAAAAGCGAAAGGTATAAGTGGCCGATAAATCGATTCGTCGTGCATCTGGCAGCCGCTTGCAGGTGAAAGAAAAAAACATCGTCGTCAACTGGAAGGAAGACGGCGAGCGGCTCAGTGTTGCAAGGGGCGTGCTAGGGGAGGGTGTGCGGTGTGTGCTGCACCTGCAGTTTCTCCTTCCCGGGATATGGATTGTGCCAGATAACCGCTCTAATATCGACCTAATCAGCGTAGATTTCCTCTTTTCTAATAGCTTCGTTCATTACTATATAGTCCATCACAATTATAAATCAATACTGAACGAATAAATGTTGGAAAATATGATATTTATTGGAATATATTCGATCTGTTTTGGAAGCTTCCAGCGTCGTCTTGCAGCCTCAAGAAACGAAAAAAAATATTAAAGAAAATGTCAGGCGCTCCTTGCTGGTGCTCACTCTTACTCGTGCTCTTACTTTCCTGCTCTTACTCGTGCTCTTACTCGTGCTCTTACTTTCCTGCTCTTACTCATGCTCTTACTCGTGCTCTTACTTTCCTGCTCTTACTCGTGCTCTTACTTTCCTGCTCTTACTCGTGCTCTTACTTTCCTGCTCTTACTCGTGCTCTTACTTTCCTGCTCTCACTCGTGCTCTTACTTTCCTGCTCTCACTCGTGCTCTTACTTTCCTGCCTGTCTCNTTCTGTGCTCTCAGAATCCTACTTCTGCGCTCTCAGAATCCTACTCCTACGCTCTCAGAATCCTACTTCTGTGCTCTCAGAATCCTACTTCTGCGCTCTCAGAATCCTACTCCTACGCTCTCAGAATCCTACTTCTGTGCTCTCAGAATCCTACTTCTGCGCTCTCAGAATCCTACTCCTACGCTCTCAGAATCCTACTTCTGTGCTCTCAGAATCCTACTTCTGCGCTCTCAGAATCCTACTCCTACGCTCTCAGAATCCTACTTCTATGCTCTCAGAATCCTACTTCTGCGCTCTCAGAATCCTACTTCAGCGCTCTCAGAATCCCACTTCGCTCTCAGAATCCTACTTCTTCGCGCTCAGAATCCTACTTCCGCGCTCTCAGAATCCTACTTCTGCGCTCTCAAAATCTTACTTCTGCGCTCTCAGAATCCTACTTCAGCGCTCTCAGAATCCTACTTCTGCGCTCTCAGAATCCTACTTCTACGCTCTCAGAATCCTACTTCTGCGCTCTCAAAATCTTACTTCTGCTCTCTCAGAGTCCTACTTCTACGCTCTATGCAGAATCCTACTTCTGCGCTCCCAGAATCCTACTTCAGCGCTCTCAGAATCCCACTTCGCTCTCAGAATCCTTCTTCTTCGCTCTCAGAATCCTACTTCCGCGCTCTCAGAATCCTACTTCTGCGCTCTCAAAATCTTACTTCTGCGCTCTCAGAATCCTACTCCTACGCTCTCAGAATCCTACTTCTATGCTCTCAGAATCCTACTTCTATGCTCTCAGAATCCTACTCCTGCGTTCTGAGAATCCTATAACTTCTACTCCCCTGTTTCTTCTTATTCACTATTTTTGTTTATTTATTCATGGTGTAAATATTGTCTATGTTCTCAAACTGGAACATAAAACTTTATTACTTTTTAAAGAAATATTTAATCATACTTAATAAAATTTCTATATGTTATCATCGATTAATGAAATCCGACATAATTATTGTTTAATTTTAATCCTAATTATCTAACATTATCTTAATTATCTTACATGATTTTCGGTCTACGTACCAAAGCTAGCGAAAAATTAGTTCGAATTGTTATAAGATTTGCTTATATATTATGGGTTATATATTAATAGGATATAGGAATATAAGTGAAGCAAGTGTCCCGTGACACGTGGCCACGTGTGCACGTGTTTATTATGTTTGTGGACGTGCAGAAACATGTTTGCTGCGTGTTTGATGGTGAGCAATTAACTGCACTAAATAACTAGTGTTGCGGCCATCATTGTTTGTGACAAACCCGGTAACTCTTGGCAAGAAAGTGACAAGCAATTGACAATAAATTGCCAAACAGTTGGCAATAACAAACGTGTTTGAGTGACGACAATATACCCAATCAGAATTTAGATCACATCAGCTTTTGATTTCTCGAATCAGCTTCTGATTTCTCGAATTAGCTTCTGATTTCTCGAATCAGCTTCTGATTTATCGAATCAGCTTCTGATTTATCGAATCAGCTTCTGATTTCCCGAATCAGCTTCTGATTTCCCGAATCAGCTTCTGATTTCTTGAATCAGTTTCTGATTTCTTGAATCAGCTTCTAATTTCTCGAATCAGCTTCTGATTTCTCGAATCAGCTTCTGATTTCTCAGATCAGAAGCTGCCAGGCCTCTGAATTTCATCAGGGTAGTGGCGACTATCGTGATGTTGCCGAGAGACAAGCACGGTGTTGGTGTCGTGTTGGTGTTACTGGTGTGTCAGGTGGTTGGTCACGACACTAACAACCTGTTTGATGTGCAACATAAACATGATATCAAAACTTCATCCAAAAAGTTCGCTGGTGAACATGTTCAACATGATGGAGTGGGGCAACATGTTGTTCAACATGAAGAACTGGGCCTTCATGTTCAGCCTGAACATTTCGGCGACGGTGAACATGCGACCCTCAATGAACATGATGAGAACATGCACGATGTTCATAGCCTTGATAACATGGCGGACATGAAAAGTGTGCATAAAACTGAACATGATAAGAATATGAAGAGTGAACATGATCCCAGCAACATGCATGACAAGACACATCAACATGATGACATGGCCACGCAAACTGAAATTGACAAGAAAATGTTCACTGAAAATGAGGAAATTAATGAACATGACAAAGAAATGCCCTCTGAACAAGAGGGTAATTTAACCTCGAAGAAACATTTCAAGAAGCCAACGGACTTGACCAAAGATGACCTCCCCACCCTCTGCCTCTGCTCGCCCCCTTGCCCCCGCCGTGGGAGGGACTGCCCCTCGGGACGCATGGTCCCCCGTGGGGACTGTCCCTGCTGCCTCGTCTGCCCCCGGGAGGAGGGGGACGCCTGTGGGGGGCACGACGACCCCCCCTGCAACCTGGGGCTCGCCTGCAGCAGCGGCAGATGTCAGCGTGAGTAATGGAGGGGGGTTGGGGTGTGGGGGTGGGTAGTGCTGTGGGGTAGGGGGTGTCACTAGATGTAGCGCAGTGGTAGCGCCAATGTAGCGCAGTGGGAGCGCCACTGTAGCGCAGTGGAGCGGCGCCGAGATGAGAGTAGCGAGTCGTGGGTTCGAGCCATGGTAAGCTCAGTTCATTTCTCGGTGTCGCACTGGTGGGCGGAGTTTAGTAGCCGTTAAAGGTGGTGATTGCAGCATGACCTTGGGTTGTTGACCTTTGCGAACTCTGGGTGAGTGATACTTGGGATTGTAAGGTCTTTAATGTTTTAAGATGTGTTTTATAAGGAGCCTGTACATGGAGCTAATACCTATTAGCCGCTAGTAGATCTGACTAATAGTAGCCGCTAGTAATTGTTTGTCTACTTTCCTCTTGTAGAGGAGTACTGGCTGCTTTGGTGTCTAGTATCCACTGGCGGCACCCGCATCAAGTCATAAAAGTTTGAGTTTCAAGCACAGACAAGCGGCCAGTAGGGCTGCAGCAGCCGTGGTGTGCGGGTGTGTGCCGCTCCGTGAGTTTACACCAAGAGAAACGAGCAAGACTTTGTCCGAATTAAGATTCACTTATTGTCTTTGTGTGCGACACTCTGACTCAGTGTGGCCAGTAAAAATGGGCGTATCAGTGCAGGAAATGTGTTACTATTTGGACCATACATTTTTTTAGTATACGTTCCATATTGACTCACCGAGTGAGGTCTTCACTCGACGGCGTCTAGCCACACATTGGCGCGTAGCGACGAGGATGGTAATATGTTGCCTCATGTATAAGATTAAACCTAATTAAACTATATGTACTGTTCGAAAAAACGGAAAAATGAATGGTTTATCAGTTTTTTCAGATGTTTTTCGGGTTTCTAGTGTTAAATTTGAATAATAACGGCCATGCGGTGTTTCTTTTCACGTGTCGGCCGGTCACTATAGAGCGCCGGTGTGACCGTTTAACGGTGATATTTCTTAATGTAATATAAGGAGAAAGTAGTTGCCGCTAATATTATAATATTATCGGTTAATATTATCCCAGTATACAGTCAGCTATAGTAATGAGGTGTCAGCGTTCGTTAGGCCGTATGCCTGTCGCCGATTCTTAACATCGCAAAGCATTCACAGCTTGTTGCGGGTCGCGAACACGCAACTCACTGCTCCAATTTTGCAATGCTTGACCAGGTAGCCGGGATCAATACAACAGCTCACTGCTTGAGCAGTGAGCTGTGGAAATGAATTTTGGAAACAATACAGAAATGAATTCTGAAACTTATGTGGGCAATGAAAAATGACAGTGAAAGGTAATAGGGTAACCGAAAATTCCATTAGGTATCAATAATGGTTAGAAAAGCATTGCAGAAAATTATATAGTAATAATTAATGGTAAAATATTATTACTCGAGTGCAATGAGATTAAAATTTATTTGATGAAGCAACAATATGACGGAATTTATATATGCTCAAATTTAACTTTAAATAAAATAAGGCGTGTTAATTATAAAATACGTGTTAATTAGATCGTTCTTAAAGATAACAATGTGATTGTTATATGGAATATAATAGCTATAGAGGATAATATTTGTCGGCAAAAGAGTGCGAATAATATATAAAATTATCAAAATATATTCTGTAAAGTCAAGAATAAAAAAAAATCAATGATGCCAGTATTATTATTAATTACCTGCTGAATTAACAGTAATTGATGCCAGAATTAACAGTGAAGGTCAGTCAGGCGTTCCCGCCATGGCCGCAGCCAAGAATTTCCGTTTAAATATATACCTTTCAATCATTAATATATAATATAAATTAATATTTAAAATGAAAACTATTTCTCAATTATCGTCGGTAGAGTAGATCCTTAGTTAATTATTTATTTAGGTGATTGTTGTGACGTATGAATATGTGCAATCTGAGTTATTTGAGTGTGACCTTTCACCCGCCAAGCGCTGGCCAATCACAGGCCGCCGTTCCTTTCATCGAAACTAACAGCCAATCAGAGGCCGACCCGGCGTCTCCCGGTGACCAATTTATCATATTTCTTACCCACGAAATGACGAATTGGCAACCGTCAGCATTACTAATGACGTCATCACTTATTATATGACATTCAGAAATAACTTGAATTTTAAATTTATTTATAACTTTGCAAAACCAACACGTAATTGTTTATGAATATAATAAAAATAATTTAGTTGAAACTTTTGCATTGATAATGTCATGGCGGACAACAGATAAGAAATGCGAACTTTATTTGATATTTAGCAACCCAAGAGCACCGATTACGTCACTTTGGTGACACTTACGAATCGAATTTAATTTACGAATCGCATTGGTACTGATGACGTCATTATCGTTAACCAATACGCACGAATTAAATTAACTAATTGGCAACCAACAGCACAATGACGTCATCGTGATTAACTATTAAAAAAATCATTCAATTTAGTAATTGGTAACCCAGCGACACCGATGACGTCATTATGGTTTGTCAATACGCGCGAATCAAATTTACTAATTGGCAACCAACAGCACTAAGGACGTCATTGCTATTAACTATTAAAAAATCATTTAATTCACTAATTGGTAACCCATCGGCACCGATGACGTCGTTATGGTTAGTCAATACGCACGAATTATATTTACCAGGTAGCAAAATAATGGCCTATGATGTCATCTTTTCTCAACCAATCAGCACGCGTCGTTTGATCGCAGTGACAGGAGAGATTTTGTGAGATTTCATAATAGTTTTTATTAGTATTCAGGAGCCGCGGGCAGCCGTCCTCCCCGTCACAAGACTGCCGTCTCACTGCGCCTAAAAAAAACAAAAAAATGCGGGCAAAAAAAGCGCGATAAAAAACACTTGCTGGCAACCGTGGCGTGCGGTTGCAACCAAGCTTTTTTTCATTTTTTCTCACCCTTCCCTAATTATCTTGAACCGTGTTGCGTATATTTTTGTAATAAATTTAACTGAAATGGACTTTGTTTATTTTTATAACGACATTGAATAAAATGATTACACTGTGAATGTAGCTTATTCATTGTGACCCGAATGATTGTAAATGTGTTTTAATTTAAGGACATGTATTATGATGAAGTACACTACATGCCGTACATTTTATTATTATTGTTATTTTTTATATTATTATTATATCGTTATTATTATTATTGTTATCATGATTGTTATCCCCAGCGAGCGCCCCGTGTCGGGATGACAACGACTGCCCCCCCTGGCTGGCGTGTCTGGGGGGCAACTGCGTGGACCCCTGCCTCCCCCCACCACGTGCCCTGAGCCCCACGTGCCCTGAGCCCCACGTGCCCTGAGCCCCACGTGCCCTGAGCCCCACGTGCCCTGAGCCCCACGTGCCCTGAGCCCCACGTGCCCTAAAGGGTCCAGGCGAGCTGAGATCACTGAGGCGACCCCGCCCTATATTAAACCCTTAGCCCTTTTTACAACGTAAAAGGGCTAAGGGTACATTTTTCCCCTTAGCCTTTCTAGTACCTATTATTCAGTACCTATATTATTTTCTAGTATTATCTTATATTAGTAGTATTATTATCTAGTATTAGATGTGTTATTATATCTAGTATTATCTAGTATATTATTAATATTATATTAGTATTTCTTAGCCAGTACATGAAATTTAGAAATAAAATATTTAACACACTTCTACCTGTCCAATCGAGCTGAAATTTTGCACACTTGCGTAGTTGGAGATAATGCATGAATCAATTGACAGAATAAATAACTTTAAAAATTAAAATAAAATTTAACGTATATATTAGAAAAAATGTTTGAAAATATTTATTTTTTATATGATTAGAAAAAAAATTCATTGTACATGTGTAACATCTGAGATACTGGCCTTTTCAGAAGTGTTGTCTTAAAAAAGTAATTTTTAAACTAATATTATTGTTGTTAGCCTCTACAGCCCTTAATAAGTCCTTTATATGCAGACCTTGCATCCTTTATATAGACCCTTAACTCCTGGCCCTTGAAGCCCTTAGACCATGCAACCCTTAGATCTATTTCTTTCCTCGTGCAGCCCTTAACCCCTTAGCCAGTGCAGCACTTAACTACTTAGACCCTCAGCCCCTTAGACCTTTCAACCCTTAGACCCCCCACGTCCAATGAGGTCAACCCCACAGGGAGCTTAACGACGGGGCTAAAGGGCTGCGAGGGCTCAAACATGTCAGGGTTCAAAAGGCTCAAATTATTTTGCGTCTTGTAAATTTATAAGAAAAATTATTTATTTATATTATTTATTATATATAACGTGGGGTCAAACCCCCCCCCTTTGCATTATTTGGGGTAGGAGGAGGGGGGCTGTGGGTGG